CTCACGTCTTTGGTCGCTGCTTTAATTCTGAGCTCCGCTTTCATCGATGGACTCATTGCCTTTTGTAGCAGCATCTGGTTGCGCCTCCGGGGGCTCCCCTAGGAGGCCCCTGGACGGAAATCCCTGCAGGGTTGGGGGGCCCAAGGCAGGGCGGCAGAGAAAAAACCTCAAGTAGAAGCCAATGCCAGTATCCGAAAAGCACTGCAGGAAGGCCAGGCTGCAGCCCAGGGAACCCCCGTGTTTCTGTCCCAGCGCCCCGAGTGTTGGGGCAGCCGGTCCTCTGGGCAGAGAGCACCCGGCTGGGCTCAGCGATGCCCTACAGCTGCACGAAGGCCCGGAGAGCCATGGGGCGGCCCCGAACCCCCTCCCTCTGGGCGCTGCTCGGCCCAAAATGAGTGCCCCAAGCACCTTCTCCCCGCCCCCGCCCCCCGCCAGGCAAGGCCGCCGTGTCTGCAGCCTCACGTGCCTTCGTGTGCACACGGCCTTTGCACGGGAGCTGAGCAACATTTTCGCTCGCAGCGTTGCGTGTTCCCCATCAAAGCCATTTCCCCGGCTCTTGGTGGGGGAGGCCGAGGCGGCCAGTGACAGACGCCAGGGGAGTGGCTCTGCCGTCGGCTCACCCGCGCGGCGCTCTCCGTTCTCCTCTTCCAAGGACGCTACTGGAGGCGAGCCGCTTGGCGCGGGGGGCACTGCGTGGGTGATGCCAAAGGCTCTGCCAGGCCTCTGCAGCATCACCCCCCCCCATGCTACGCAGAGAGATGCTGGCACATCCATCCAGGATGAATCATCCCGCAGCAGCGGGGGGCGGGGGGGCAAGGGGATTCTGGGCGGGCACAGGGCCACGGGGAGGCTGCTCCCCCCCGGCACAGGCACGGGGGAGGGGTCTGTGCAGGGCACGTGTCCGCCTGCTGGTGCGAGGGCGGTGGGTTGGGGTGCCTGGGCAGCTCCAGTGGCCATGGGGCACGTTGGCTCCACCGCTGTGGGGAAACGGAGTCCTGGGGCCCCAATTCAGAGTGCTGGGCAGGAGGCTGCGATCCTGCCCTGCCCAGTGGCTTCCTCCGAAACACTGCCCCCTCCACGTGCCCTGAGGAGGCTCGGCTCGGGGGCACAGCAGCAGTGCGGGAAGATGGGCTCGGGAAGCTTGGGGACAAGCCAGGCCTGCACAGGAGGGATGGGCCCCCTCCAGCCGCACGGCCAGGTTGCTGGCGTGCAACGCAACTCGGCTGGCGGAGCGCCACGAGGATGGCCCTTGCCCGGGGAGAGCCAGCTGGGGCAGCAAAGCCTCTGGCTGGGGTGGAAGCATCCCTGGAGGAGCTGAGGAAGCGTTTCTGGGCAGGCCGGGGCCCTGGGGCATGGCGGCATCCACCCGAGAAGGCCTCGGCCTGGAGTGGAAGAGGCCCGGCTGGGGCACCCCCCTCTGTCGTCGTCGGAGCCCCTGAGCTGGGGCGGGAGCACCTGCTCGATGTAGAGAACCTGCTCCAGCACACCTGGGGAGCCAGCGGAGGGGAGGGAGAGCGGCACTGGGCACGGCCGTCTCGGGACGGGGCCCCGCGGGGAGGGCGGGGAAGGGCGCCCCAGAGGACCCGCACGCCACGCGATGTGGCTTCAGAATCACCGGTCGGATACCAGCCGGAGGAGGGCCGACCCCGGAGCACACTGTGCAGCCCGACCTTTTGAGAGCACGTCTAGGACACCGACGGCAGGACCGCGACCGCAGGCCAAACGCGCGGATTTCTGGTTTCTCCCACCTCGCCCTGCAGTTTGGACCACCAGCCCCGATGAAGATTCCTGGAGAACTCCAAAGCTCGCATGTGCGGCCCAGGAAAAAGTATCGCGCACCCATCTGTTTCATGGACCCCTCCACATTGGGAAAATCGCCAAGGGATTTGATGCCTCCCACCTCCCCCCCCCCGGCCACGAGCGTCTCATAGCTGCACTGCTGAGCGAGGGTCTCTTGAGCCGACGTGGACTGCAGGGCAGCGCCCCGGGAGCCTGCTGGGCTCGGTGGTGAGGGCCAAGAGAAAATGGTCCCATTCAACTGCCAAAGAGGGAAGTTCTTGAAAACCAGGGAAATGGAAAGAGGTTTTTGAAAGGCGGAGTTGAGCGTGAGTTGAGTGTGAAGGTGGAGTTGAGTGTGAAGGGGCCACGGCTGCAGCTGGGTCGCAGGCGTGTTCAGGCTCACCCCAAGGACCTGTGGGGCCCTCCGCCCCCCGGCCCCAGCCCGTGCAGCGGGACGAGCTGGACCAGCCGCCCCTGCGATCGTGGCGGGAGAGGATCGCTGCAAGGGGTGCCCGGGGGGGCAGGGCAGGCGGCCGAGGCAGAGCGACTCTCTGCCCCGGCTCTGCATCTGGATGGTGGGAGCCACCAGACACGCTGCGCAGTGTGGGCGGAGGTGCCTGGGCATATGCGGTCCCCCGTGAGGGCGTTGGGGTGGCCAAGGGGGGCCATGCCAGCCCAAGAGGCCCCAGCGCAGCAGCTGAGGGGCATCAAGGAGCCGCGTGCAGCCCAGGGGGCTCCCTTCGGACAGTCCGGCACGCCCGCGGGCGAGGGGAACAAGGAGGACAGCAGTGCAAAGAAATGCAGGCAGGCAACCAGAGATGCGCAAAGGCGTTTTGGGGGCATCGTGCCGATAACATTGAGACCGATAACAAAGACTGCTTTAAATATGTCAGAAGCAGGCAGCTCTGGAAAGGCAGGAGTTACAGGGGGACACACGGAGGAGGAGAACATCACGCAGAAGTTAGGCAAATGGTTTCCTTCGCTAGAGAGCAGAAATGCGCGCATGTATCCAGATTTCCAGAAAGGGCATCTAAAAAAGTATTAAATACCAGTGACAAAATACGTGCTCAGTCTTTTTGAGAAAATGAGACAGAAATAGTTGCCAAGTCCAAATGATTGCCCTCTTGCCAGTTCTTTAAACAGGCAGTGCAAAATTCAGTTCAGACTGAGATACAAAATTCCTGCTGTTCTAGCAAAGCCATTTTGCATGTTTCTGACCGCCTTCTGTGCCAGATGACTGGAGACGGAGCAGCAGCTTTTGCAAGGGGCCAAGGTATTTCCAGAGCTGGAAAAGCTGATGAAGGGAGGGCGATGGACAGGATCCCGGGACTGCAGCAGCTCCCTTACCCTGCTGGGGCTTTTTACCTTGGAGGAAGCGGAGGGAGGGGGGCTGTACGAAACGAAGCCTGGGCCGGAGGAAGTGGGCCCTAAAGCTGCCTGGACAGGATGCGGCCGGAGGACGGGTTCTGCTCACAGGGCCACATTCAGCCCTGGAGCTCCCCACCGCAAAGAGTGGTGCTGGCTGCTGGGGACGCCGGAGGCTACCGGGCCAGCATGCACCCAGTGGCCACGGCCGCAAGCTCCTGTGGCCCGGTATGCCCCCCCCCCGCCCGGGCACTGTGGGGAACCTGGGCTGGGAGGCAGCCGTGCTCGGCCCCTGCATGGGCTTCCCCCGCCACCCGGGAGGCACGGTGGGAACAGGCCAGCCCCAGCTCATCGGGTCACGGGGCTGGGAGGGACCCCGTGGAGCTGCGATGCCCCCCGAGAGGGCCACCCTGCCTCCGAATAGCTGGCCACGGGGAGCGAGGGAGCGTTTGCGCAGCCGCTGCTCCGTCCACAGAGCTGGACACTGGCTCTGTGGGGCACCGCCCCGTGGCGAAGGGAGCCCCTGCAAGCACATGCCCGCTGGGAGGGGCCCGGGGAGGGGCCCTCTCCCCGTGGGGGCACACACGCTGCCCACAGAGGGGCCTGCGGGGCCCCAGCATCCCTGCTCAGAAGGACCATGCGCAGGAAGTGGGGGAGCGCCCCCAACAAATACGGGGTGGGGAAGCTCACACTGCAGCGCCGGCCCCTCCCGCAGAGGCCCCCTCCAGGCCTTGCCGGCTAGCCGCTCCCCTCCGGGCCCTGGAGCTCCTCGGGAGCACCCCCTGGCCCCGCCGCGGCAGGCTGGGAGCCGGGGCCGCGTGCCCCCAGGGAAAGGCGAGGTTGTGGGTGGCGCCGTCTGTGGGTCAGGGCGCCCCCACGCTGCTGACCGTGGTGTAGCTGACCTTGGACAGGGAGGCTGCCCCAGCGGTGGCCTCCTCGTCGGGGGGGTGGGGGCGGCGCCAGCGGCGGGGCAGGAGGCAGCGAGAGAAGGCGGCGGCCGCGGCCTTGCGGAACCGCTTGTTCATGAAGCAGTAAATGAAGGGGTTGGCACAGGTGGAGGTGTACAGGAGCAGGTGGATGAAGGAGATGGGGGTGCCGGAGAGGGCCCGCTTGGCCACGTGGGGGTCGAAGGCACGCCACGTGTTGGCCACGTTGGTGGGCAGGCAGCACACGAAGAACACGACCACGATCACCACCAGCATGCGGATGACCCGCTTCTTCGCCACCAGCTTGGCCTCCGAGCTGTTGATCCGGGCCGGCTCCTTCCTGGCGCTGTCCGCCGGCACCAGCACTGACAGCTCCACAGCGCCGCCCGCAGGCCGGGGCACTTGGACGTAGCAGCCGTCCCCCTCCTCGCAAGGGGCCGCAGGGCCGGGGCCTCCGCCCCGCTGAGCTGGGGGGCAAGCAAACGGAAGGACCGTGACAAGGGGAAGGACAACCGCCCCCCCGCGACCCAGCTCTGCCACCTGCTGGGGCCAAATGGAACCGTCCAAAGCGGGGGCTGTGCGGCCCCCTTCCGACCGAGCCAGCCAGGCACGCTCCAGCCCTCCCCCCCCACGAGCGTCCGTCTTCAGGTGCCCCGGCAGGCCACAAGCCCCCGCGGCCCCCGCACCAGGCTCACATCGAGGGGATGGCAAGCTCCTGGAGAGGCGGCCCAGGGCCAGCCACCTGCACGGGGCAAGGGGGCTGCGGGGCTGCTCGGGGTCCGATGTGCCTCCCTGGCAAGGGGCTCCATCGGTGTGGCCTGCCCCTCCTGCGGGCCGTGTGGGGAGGAAGGGGCTCCCGGGTGCGTGGGTGGCTCTCCCACACGCCATCCACCGGCCCCACTGGAGGGGCGAGCCGCGCACGGGGGAGCGGCACGTGGCCGGGGCCGCCTCCGCTGCCACCCCACGAGGCCGCCCGGAGGAGCGCCTCCTGCAAACGCCAGCCGTGCGCCCCCCGCCCATGCTGCACGGCGTGTGGGGCACGACTGGCTCCCTCCGCGGGAGCTCTCCTCCGCGGGCGCCCGCTCTCCGCTTCAGCTGGAGCTCTTGGCGGGGAGCGTGCTGGCCAGAGGGGCTCCCGGGGAGGGGATGCCCCAGCCCCGGGCTAGAGACCCCGGCACAAGCGGCCCTCCCCAAGCCCCCTGAAGCAGTCCAACGGGTCGGGAGGCCCCGCTCGGCTGGATCCCCGGGCTGCCCCGAGCAGGCGTGTGCGGCGGGTCCAGTGGGACATGCCGGCTGCCCCCCGTCCCCCAGGCTCCGGAGAGAGTGCCAAGTGCTTTTGCACAGAGCCAGGTGCACGTCCACCACAGGCCACTCGCTGTGCCAAGCGAGCGCCCCCCCCCCGTGCATACCTTTGGCCTCCCGGGCGAGGCCCATCTCGAACCGGATGCCCCGGTAGAGCTCACGGGAGATCAGGCCGTAGGCCACGCTCATGACGAGCCCCGGGATGAAGAAGAGGATGGTGAGGAGCAGCACATACCTGGGGAGGGAGGCGGCGGCGTTACTCCAAGCGCGCGGGCCCAGCCTTCTCCCAGGGGAGCCGCCGGCCTGGACCCCCAGGAGGCCTCCACAGCCCCCAGCGCACGGAGGACCAGCGCGGCCAGCGCGAAGGGGCTGCTCCGCTCCCAGCCCAGCCCCGGGCTGCGGGGAGGGTGGGAGGACGAGGGAAGGGGCGCTGGCAGCTCTCCTGGGTCTCTCGTGGGGAAAGGGCAGCAGCGACTGCCGTCCAGAGGCGAATGGGCGAATGAACCGTCCGGGCCAAGCAGTTCCGCTCGCTCTCCTCCCGCGCAGTCCAGCGGGCCACTGCCGGCGACGCAGCCCAACCTCCCGCGTCGCATCACTGGGCGGGTGACACGCCGCCGCCGCTCCTCGGACCTGCCCGTCTCACGAGTGCTTCGACTCGACTCGACTCGCAGCCTGTGGGGAAGCTCCGTTCCCCGGGAGGCGCCTACCCTCTGGCCGGCTTTTTCTGCCCCCCACCTTTTCCGCTACCTTGGCAGCCTGCGCACCTTGGGGAGATTACTTCAGCTGGATGAGAGCAAAGGGGCCCAGGCAGTGCCCCCCCTCAGCACACCTCGGGTGGACGTCGCTTGGGCACACGTGCCCCCCCACCCCCTTCACCGGGAGCCGGGGGCTCGGAGCCTCTCGCTGCCATTGCTGGGAAAGGGTCCTGGCTGCACCCCCTGGAGCTGCTGGGCCAGAGGCGAGAGGTGCCCCCGCAGACCCCCCTACACCGACGGAGCCCAGGGAGGGGCCACTACGTGCCAGCCAGCCGGGAGATGCAGCCGGGCGGCCGAGCAGCGCTCCCCGTCCTCGGCATCGGGCGCTTCGGTCCTGCCCCCAGAGAGCCACTGGCGAGGTGCCCTCCCAGGGTCAGACCCGCAGGAGAAAGCTCGTGGTGCCATGCCTGCACTGGAAGCCCCTTGGGGCAGAGCCCTCCCCACCTGCATGGCGCCAGCCGGACTGAGCACGCTATACAGAACCGTGTGTGCGCCCCCCGCCAGCACCTTCCTGCCCTTCCCCGGGCCCCCGCCCTGCCCCGCCCGCCCGCCACTCACCAGGCCTGCTCCACGAGGTGCCCGGGCCAGCGGGGGCTGCACTGGGAGACGTCCGGCTGGGAGGGGAGGGCGCTGGTGGTGCTGTAGACGGGGTACGGCAGCATCAGGAGCGCCGAGAGCAGCCAGGTGGCGGCAATGACCCGGCAGGCGTGCGAGCGCGTCTGCCACACCCGGGACTGCAGCGGGTTGCAGATGGCGTTGTAGCGCTCGATGGCGATGGCCACCAGGCTGAAGGTGGACACGCTCACCGACATCCCTGCGGGCGGACGGACGGACGTCCCTGTCACCCGCGTCCCGTGGCTGGCCGAGGCGGGGGGGGGCCCCCTGCTTGCCCCGGCCGCTGGGCGGCAGCGGATGCGGGCTCTGCTCTGGCGCATCGGCGCACCCGGGGGGGACCGCAGCCCCCGCTCAGCCGCGAGAGGGGAAGCGCGGGCCGAAGCAGACGAGGCTCCACACGGCCCCGTGCCCATGCCCAGCTGCACGCTTCCTCGGAGGCCCCCGGGCCCCAGCCAAGAGCCCGCCCAGCCCAGCCGGAGGGCGAGGAAAGCCCTCTGCCCCCTCCCACCACTGCGGGGCCGGGGCACCCACCCATGAGATAGGCCATGGCCTTGCAGACGAGCTTCCCAAAGATGAAATTGCGCAAGAGGTTGGGGATGAAGGTGAAGGGCATGCAGAAGATGGCCACCATGAGGTCGCTGAGCGCCAGCGAGAGCAGGAAGGAGTTGGTGACGGTGCGCAGCCGCTTGTTCGTCACTAGGACCGCCACGACGAGCGCATTCCCGAAGACGCTGAGGATGAAGATCAGCGAGTAGAGGAGCACCCGCAGGGTGAGATCGAGCTCTGCGGGGAGAGGGAGGGGGCCGTGAGCCCTTCCTCGGGGCCGGAGCCGTGGAATGGGTGAGCGGCCGGCTCCCGGAGACGGCCTGGCCAGGCAGGGACGGCCTGCCCACCGGTCCGGTTGCCCCCCGAGGCAGGAGAGCCGCCGCCCCTCCTCCTCCAGCACCGTGCTCCCTCCGTGGCTGGGCCACTTGAAGGGCCGTCCAGCCTTGGTCCTACACAGGGCAGAACGGCCGGACTTGCTCGGAGCGGCGCTGAGCACCACGTTGCCTTCGCTCCCGCACGGCTCAATCGATGGGGGACCCTCCCTCCAGCAGAGAAAGGCCCCGCCCCCGCACTGGCCCACTGCAGGGGCTGCACATGCGCAGGCCGGGGCACCTGCCCACGCTCCCGCGCCCCCCGGGGCTCCTCCCCGCCACACGAGCGTCTCTGGCAGCTGCTGGAAGCCCTGCAGCCGCCTGCCCCCAAGCTCTCTGTGGAGGCGGCCAGGCGCTCCCGGCGCTGCTGCTGGGATCCTGACGGTTCACCCTAGAGAGGCGGATGGGCAGCCCCGCTGCTTCCCAGCAATTTCCAGCCGGATCCACAGGCGCCCCCACAAGCCCTGCCCCCCCTCCAGGTGCTGCCCGCTCGCTTTCCTCCCAGGGACGCTGCTGCACACGGTGCCTGTTTGCCCAGAGCCCCAGCTGCTGATAAGGAGGCGCTCGACTGGCAGCTGTGACACGTGGGGACAGAGCGGAGGCCACGGTGGGGCGGCTGCAGCCGGCCCTGGAGCCCACGGTGCGTGCCACGTGGGGAGCAGCTGGCTTGCCGCGGGGGGCACGCTCTGTTCCCACGGCTTTGCTGGGGGACACACGGCCCCAGACGGCCCCGCACTACCTCGCGGGGACAACCCGGGTCCGAGTGTCATGGGATTTACCCAAACCTCAACAAAGCTGCCCAAGTTAGTGACCACCACCAAATCCGGAAGAACGGAATCCCACAGCGCAACTGTGTGTGGTGTGACGTCCCCATCCTCTCACCTCGCATCTCATACTGTGAAAGAGGGAAGGGGGACGCCCCATGCGGCTCGGCACGTCCCAAGCCGGCCCTCCTGAGCATGCCTGCCTCCCAGGCTCAGAGGCCCCGGGACCACACGCTCCCACGGAACTGGAGCCCGGATCGCCCAGGGGGAGCCAGCTGAGCCCACAGCACCAGCCTCCTCAGCCCCTAGGGCAGCGGGGGGGATTCCCCCGGGAGGAAATCCGGGGGGGGGGGGGAGGCGGCTGCCCTGGTGCGTCGTCTGTCCGAGGCTTGGCGCACACAGCCCCAGAAGGGGCACACGCCCACCAGCACCCCCGGCCGGGCTGCCTCCTGACCGGCACCGTGGGGCAGGCGATCCGCCCTCTGCGATTGCGGCACGCAGCCGAGGGCAAGATCCACCCGGCCGAGCCGCTGCCGCCCGTGCGTACAGCCCCTGTGCCAGCACTGGGCGAGGCGGGGCGCAAGGAGAGCGGTCTCGGCTCCCCCCCCCCTCTGCCAGCCCGGCCCGGTCAGCCCCAGGGAGAGGGGCTCGCGGCGGCGTGAGGGGGCAGCCGGGCGGGGGCTGCAGCCTGCGGGAAACGGGCGCTGGCAGTGGCCGCGTGTGCACGGCGGGGCGGGGCGGGGGGGGAAGGGATCAGGCCCCGTTTCGGGGCGTCGAGCGGGGCCCGGCTGCCCTGGCAGGGCGAGGGCCAGAATTCCGCACCGGAGGCGGGGAAGAGCCCGCTCCGCTGCGGAAGAGGGAAGCGGCTCTCGCTTCCGCGGTGGCGGCGTGTGAGGGGGGGGGGGGGGCAAGGTGCGCGCAGGTGCAGCTCCCAAGCTGCTGACGGGAAGCGGGGGCGCGAACCTCACCTGGGGCGCCTCCGCGGGGCCTCCGCGAAGGGTCGCAGCCGCCGCCGCCGGTCGCGTTCAAGGCGCTGCCGTTAGCCGAGCCGGGCCGGCACAGGAGCGACTCGTTCAGCTGCCGCGGCGCCTCCATGCTGGGCGGGCGCGCGTGGTCGGCGGGGACGGAGCCGCCCGGCCGCCCCTCAAGGTCCGTCCGCTGGCCCGCCGCCGCCGCCGC